AGAAAGAAAGAAAGAAAGAAAGAAAGAAAGAAAGAAAGAAAGAAAGACAAATAATGAAAGCTTTTCCCATGTATGATGTTCATACATGTTCAATTTTAACAGCAAACAGAACAGGAATGTGGGTCAGCTAAATATCCAGCAGATCACATCTGCATCCATTTTGGAATCTAGCATCAATTAGATTGGATCTAAACACTTTTCCAACCAGATCAAAAGGTGATTTACTTCAATAGACATTTAGAATAGTTTGACACCCACTCAAAGTAATGCAATTTACGCAGCACATCTTGTTGCTTGCATGACTCCGTGAAATCAATTGCATTATCTTGAAACATAAAGTACCTGATGGAGATAAATAACAGAAGCCTCAGTTATTAGGAGTTGAACAAAACTAAGGAGAGAAGCAACCTAGAAGTAAGGAGAAGTTTCCTAACATCAACCAATGGAATAGCTTGCCTTCAGAAGTTCTGGCTGCTCCATCATTGGAGGCTTTTAAGAAGAGAGTGGACAGCATTTGTTTGAAATGGTATGGGATCTCCTGCTCAAGCTGGGGATTGGACTAAATGACCTCCAAGGTCCCTTCCAACTCTGCTATTCTATACTAGCTCTATACCAGTGCTTCGCTACAAAACTATGTGGTTGGGCTTAGTTTTGGGGGGAGGAAAATAAGAGGAAAAATTCTGCCTCTGCCTACCAGCATCCATCGGTATTCATCTGGCTAGCATCCTGTCAGTGTGAGAGAGTTGAGGACTATTTGGAAACTGAAACGGTATTTGCTGTGTGAGCAAGAAGGAGACAGCCAGGAGCCTGGGCATGGGTTAGCTCAACTGTTCTGTACTAAAGCTGCTTGGTGCTGTGAAACTGAAACTCCTCTCCTCTGCTTGTGTTTTGCTTTTGGAAGAGATTTCTTTTCAGGTGAGGAGGGGGAGTAGAACTCCTTAGCATCAGAGTATATTAATAATAATTATAATGTAGGAAATACTAATAGCTCTGATGGTCATTTTGAAAAATCCTTTCTTAGTGAGCACCTAAGAGGAAGATACGGGCCAAATTTCAAGTTTGTAGACTTTACAGTTCTGGAGATTTTGTGATGATGCCTGAGTGGTATTTTGCTTTTATATACTGTATATAGATTCTACAATATGTTCAATTTGCTGGTAAAAAGGTCGATGGTGGCTATAGCAGTATTTAAAACACTAGGTGGCAGCAATAACTTTATAAATGCTTCCTTCATATTTGTCTCTTTCTTTCCTGTTCCAATTTTTTAATAAACGAATTACATAAAATATTTTGCAATGTGGGGCTGGTTACTCTTGGTATGAATTGAAGGAATCAGTGGACTTAAACCGTGGAGATGGCTACTTAGCAACTATTAAAATTATATGTGCAATTATACAATTGTGTTACAGAAGGCTGAGCAAAATTTGTAAATAATTACAGAAAGTAGGTTTCTATTTGCTAGGAAAACATTGCCGGCCTAAATCAATTATGGGGAAAGACTTTTTTTCATTGATTTGCAGCAGCTCAAAGATAGCTTAGTTTATTTATTTTTATTATTATTTGCAACGCTTCAAAGCATAGCAAAAAAAAGCACACAAATCTCAGTCAGTTACTGTAAGGTAGGAAGTTAATCTATTTGTCCTGATAGCCCATCATAACCCATTCTGATCAACAGTCATCTTCCAGTAAATACCAAATGATGATTAAAAAAAAAAACTAC